TCCAAATCTTTCCATTTCCTAACAAATGGGGCAATGTCATTCTTTCTGATGGAGGCATAGAATTCCATTGTACATATGTGTGTGTGTGTGTGTGTGTGTGTGTGTGTGTGTGTGTGTGTGTGTCACATTTTCTTGATCCATTCATCTACTAAGGAGCATCTGGGTTGGTTCCATATCTTAGCTATGGTAAATAATGCTACAATAAACATAGTTGTGCTGGTAGCTTTAGTATGGTCTTGTTTGTGATCATTTGGTAAATGCCCAAAAGTGGGATTGCTGGGTAATAAGGAAGCTCTATGTGGTATCTTTTGAGGAACCTCCATACTGCTTTATAAAGTGGTTGAACAAGCTTACACTACCATCAATAATGCAGTAGGGTTCCCTTCTGTCCACATCCCCTCCAGCATCTGTTGTATTAGAGTTCTTGATAATAGCCATCCTAACTGGGGTGAGGTAGAATCTCAATGTTGTTTTGATTTGCATTCATTTTATGGCTATAGAAGTTGAGCATTTCTTCATGTGTCTATTGGCCATTCTTATTTCCTCTTCAGAGAAGTTTCTCTTTAAGTCTTTAGCCCACTTATTTGTCAGGCAGTTGTTTCTTTGAAGATTTGTTGTTGGGGGATTTAATTTTTTGAGTTCCAATTATATATTTCTTTAAGTTAGTTTTTTATTGCGAAAATACCATTCACAGGGGTTACAATTACGTGAGCAAGGTAATGAGTACATTTCTTATCAAGCATTGTTGCCTCCTCCTTTGTTTTCCCTCTATCATCCCTGCCCGCCCTCCCATCTCCACCACTACCCCTGCCTCCACCAAAGTTGTAAAGTTCGTTTTTCAACATTGTTGCAATGGGTCCACCTGTATCCCTATTTAAACAATTTGTTATTTCCCTTCCCCACCCCAAATTCCACCAACATCAAATACAGTGAAAATAGGGGTTATATCGTGGGGGGGGGGTGATATACAAAGCAACAAAGTATATTTTAGATATGAGACCCTTATCTGTTGTATGGCTAGTGAAGATCTCCCAATCCGTGGGCTTTCTATTGATCTTTCTAGCTATGTCCTTTGCCATAAAGAAGTTCTGCAGCTTCATGCAATCCCATTTATCCAAGCTTTCTTTGATTTTTGTGTTTCTGAATTTAGGAAGTGGATAAACCTCCCATGGTCCTGGGTCAGAAGGATCAACATCGTGAAAATGACAATACTTCCCATGGCTATCTACAAATTCAATGCGACACCAATCAATATTCCAACCTCATTCTTCAGTAAAATAGAAGAGGCAATCCAAAAATTCATATGGAACAATAAAATACCCCGAATAGCAAAAATTAATAATGATGGAAGAATATCAATACCAAACTTCAAACTCTACTACAAAACCATAGTAATTAAAACAGCTAGGTACTGGCCCAAGAACAGACTTGAGGACCAATGGAATAGAATCAAAAACCCAGAAATGAACTCACAGACCTATAGCCACCTAATCTTCAATAAGGGAGCTAAAAAAATATAATGGAAGAAAGACAGCCTCTTCAGTAAATGGTGCTGGCAAAATTGGATGAACACATGTAGAAAACTAAAGCTAGGTCTGTATATAATACCCTACACCAGAATCAACTCCAAATGGATCAAATACCTCAATGTCACAGCAGACACCTTGAAAACATTACAGGAAGGAATAGGAGAAACCCTATTTTAAAATATTTTTTGTGGTCAAGGTGGTGTACAGAGGAGTTTCAGTTACATAGGTAAGGTGATAAATATATTTCTTGTCAGAAAGAATGTAAAGACTAGAAAGTTGAATTTTGTTTTGGAATGAAATGTCTCAAAAGTTATTCTTGCTATAATAAGGTAAATGCAGGGGTTCAGCCAGGTATTGTGGTACACATCTATAAAGAAAAAGAGGGACAGGGAGAATGCAATGAAGAATTCAATGTATCTCCTACAAAATTAAGAACAGCTAGGATGGTTTGAGAGAATGCTGAAGAAATATTGTATTCACAAACTGCTTTGTTAAATGGCAATTCCTTTTTACAACCACTTAATGATAATTTTTAAAAAGAAAAAAAGGGCTAGTGCTTAACCAAGGTAAGCAAAAGTGCTTACCTAGCACTGGCTTGGGGTTTCATCTTCATTACTACAAAAACAACCAACCAGATCAAGAAATAAAAATATACAATTGGTACAGAATGGATAGAGGCTAGGTGTGAATTTGGACATGCTTATCTGACAAAGTCAGTGTTCCTCACGTATCTAAATCTAAATGGAACAAAGTACAAGGTTGTTATGGATGGAAGTCCTAAGTTCAAGTGTTAAATTTCTATCTTCATCATGATGATATTCAGGAGGTGACTTTTGGAAGTGACTAAGTCATGAGAGTAGAGTTGTCATAGCACAACTAGAGCCCTTATAAGGAGAGACATGAGAAAACCTGCTACTCTTATTATTATGGC